GGAAACGGAAACGTACCTCATGCTGTCGTCGGGCGTGCGGCTGCGGGCGGGGTCAGGGTGGCCAACATGACACGTTATTGTTCCAGGAAGGATTAAAGGTTGGCCACACTGATCATCATGCATAGAGCGTGGAGTCGGACTGCCGTTTGTTTCCCTTATCGACGAGTGCCGATCGCCCTCAGCGTGCTTCAGCGTGCAGCTTCAGCCCAGAGGACCCACTTCCAGCTCACTGCATACAAGACAGTGCGGGCCAAGCGGTCTGGCTGAGGAGTTGTGGGGTTTTTAAATGTCCTGAAATTGTGAGGCCATTGAGTTGAACTCTACATTGACTCAAGCCTGATGCTCATCATCTTTGCTCTGGTCTTGGCATCATTTCAATTATCATCCCAGTTTCATTCAGTAGGCAACCTTGATGTTCAATTCATGGTTTCTGCCCCGGTCTTGACACCATTTCAATTCCAGCAAATTTGTGTTTGTTCAGGGACGCGGCAGTATTGCGAAACATGACACGTCTGTGTAAACTTTCGTCGCACCGGCCCGAAATGGCTTTTAAAATTTCATCTCGTCCCTGCTGTTCTTATTCCCTCCCCGGAGCTCCTCCCCCGTGATCCAATTCGCCCTGAGTTTGGCCAAAAAAAATGTGTTTGACAAACGTCTGGGCCTCCTTTCTCCTGCCTCGCCCTGTGTACTTGTTTGCATAAGATGGTTGCTTCTGCTGCAGGTGTCTCAGCCTGCCTGCCCCCGTCTCGGAGCAGGTCATGTGAGGCCACGGCCCTGGCCAGGCCCTGGCCTAGACGTGTTGTGTTTTTTGTTTGCGTGTGTGAGTTGGCTTCATCACTGGGATGGTCCAGTCATTTCGAGGCGTCGCGTCCTATGGCCCTTTGAGTTAACTCGCCATCGTCCGTTTTTATATCCCCTTTTTTTTTTCACACGGTGAATCTATCTTCCACCTCTCCTCCCCTTAATTTTCGTTCCTTTGCATGACGCTAAGTGCGGTGTTTGCTGCTCACTTCTTTCGGATTGTCATTCTGATTACACGTTAACCCGTTCACAGCCTTGTGTTGCGCAGCAGGTTGTACCGAAAAGTGTTGGCAGGCCGCGCCTGGCCGCGCCACCGCTATTGTCAGGCCGCATGGGTAATAACTGTGCCGACTGCACACCAATACGTTACACGTGTGGTTTGATCTGGATGCCCGATTACGGAGTGAAGGGTGCTGTGTGTGTGTCTGTTTGTGTGTGTGTGTGTGTGAATGGCGCCAAACCTTCGCTACGATCACAGTCTGAAGAAGGAACCCTCAAGGTGTTCTGGCTCACTCCGCATCGGACTGGCGCCATCCTGGTGTAGACCACTTTTTCCTCCGTTTCGATAAATTAGAAAAACTCCAAAACACTTGGCCAAACGTCACATTGCACTTTGCTCAAATTTATGTCTGCACATTTCTGAACACTATTGTCGGTGCTCCTGCGCTTGATGAAGACGCCAGCACGGCAGGGCAGGCCATGGGGCAGGCCGAGCAGGTCGGAGAGACTCATCAGCCGGAGTCACGCCGTCAGACAAAGGGACGGCGCGTTAGTTCGCGCCGCCGTCGCCAGGCGGCGCTGCGGCCCGCGCTTTTCGTGACTTTACTAAATTGCCCGCGCCGGCCTGCCACCGCCTGCTTCATCTGTCGTCGTCGTGATTTTGACAAGTTGGTTAAAAACCTACAAACGATAACGGCCGGCCCAGAGTTTCGCCGGCGGTGAGAGAATGGAGAACTTGTCTGTCTGTCTATCCGTGCGCCTTGCCACCAGTCAATCATTAGGTAGCAGCTAGTTCTCACGACGCATATGGAACGACACATCCATCATATCGTTCTGCTACTCCGGCAGCTATTCCTGGAAAGCTGCCTCGCATCATGCATGCACCTGAGCTGTGTGTGTGTGTTTGTGAGGGAGAGGGGGAGGGGGTTACTGCGTGCAGGATTCGCGTAGGTCAGGGCAGCATACCGCACTACTGAAAAGGATCCAGATCTAGGCGTGGCCGGCCCGACCCGGTCCGTACAGTGTCTACATCGTGAAGGAATTGAATCATTGTCCGACATTTATGAGACACTTTCTTTGCGAGGTGATTCATCTCTCGACCGCAAAGTTTCAGTTGTTCGAAAAGCGGTTTATGGGGTAATCCGTTTGTTACCGCATTGAACTTTACATGTTACATGCGTATTATGGCCTCTATTGTGTTGCGTTTTGTAGTGTGAGCGCCAGTACTTTCTTCCAGGAATATTCTGGCAGTCTCCAGCAGAGCGTCACACGTAGTTTAGAAATTGACACATTGAATTGAACAAATTCATGTTGACGTTTTGAGATCTCCCGCCTGCAAGGAAGGCTTTGACACTGCTGCTCTCCTTGGCTTGGCATGGCAGGCACGCAGATGCACCACAGCTGGAGCCACATGCTGGATAAGCTTTGCGGCTGGATCCCGGCTCGAGTCCAAGTTTGGGTTCGGGGAAGTGCACACTGCGCAACCCATCCACTGCTTCACTTTCGGTGTCTCGCCAGTGTACAGTCCAATAAAGCCTACAAAGTTACGTACCCACGGAATCCAGGCTATTTGTTGGCAACACTGCTAAATTTTGGAACACAAACGGATGAGTTGCACTGCTGCGCTGGTTGATGCCGGCTGATTGCTCGTGGCCAAGTCAGCCATAAGGCAGCGCGCGCACTGTTCCCCGAAAAACCAGACCGGCCGACACATCAACCAGGCCGTGGCGGGGCGGGGCGCTTGCTCGACGGGGGAGCCTCCGACGCCTGCCCGCGGTCAGCGACGGCCTGTCTGCCCCCTCCCCCTCCCCCCCTCCCCTGACCCGCGCCGCAGGTGCGCGTGTAGGTACCACTGCAGCGTGCGTATGCCCTGACAGGCTGATCTCTTCATTTCTGACACCCACGAGAGGTTCCCCCTGTGTGTGTGCGTGTGTGTGTGTGTGAGCGCTTGCCTGTGAGTCCGCACGCCAGGCGATCCTCTAATTAAACTCCAGCCAGGGGGGCTGCAGGCTGAGGCAGGCTGAGGCGGCTCAAGCCTCGCCGTGCTCCGCGTTATTGGCGAGGAGGAGGTGCTGCACGCCGCACAGTGGGCCAGAAGACCGGTAGAGGCGGCAAAATTTCTAGACGCGTTTTGAGCTCCAGAGTCGCTAAATGGGACTCGAACCGAGCGTGTGACTCCACCAATGGATTCCTCGTTCGGAGAGCAGTCTATTGGTGGGGTCACACGTTTGATTCCACAAAACGCGTCGAGACTTTTTGCCGCCTCCGCCGGTCTTCTGGCCCACTGTGCGCGGGGCCGTGGGGGGTCAGCTGGACCATTGGCCGCCATCGGCCTGAAAAACATGCCGTATGCAAACAAGATAGGCGTCAGCTAAAAGCCCCACTTTATCACTAGTGTCGCCTTGTTGCGGTGGGTGGCGCCTTGCCGCTCCCTGACGCCGCGCTCGCTAAAAGCGGACAACGCGGGTTCGAGCCCCGCCCGGGTCCTGGCCGCACCTTCTTATTTTTTATTTTTTATGGCTCCCGCACCGTCCGCCACGGCCTCATGCACGCCGCGGAGCTCGCGAAGCTGGCGAAGCTCACCGCCCGCCTAGGCGGCCTAGGCTTGCTCGGGCCGCCTGAGTCGGGCGCCGGTACTGCCCTGTGTCCTGAAGTGGGCCAGGGCCTCGGCCAGGGCCTTCAGTGCAGCAACAACAACAACAAGACCGACAACGGTAGTAACAACGATAGCGGCGATATACCGCTCGCGTGGCGCTGGACGGCGACGACGCCGGGAGAAATCCGCGAAGCGGCACGCTCACTCCGAGAGTCGTCGCTCCGTCTCTCTCACGCTCGCGCGGCGCCCCGCGTCGGTGCGAGAGAGACAGAACGACTCGCGGTCTGCAGCTCGGCATAAATAAGGACCGGTGCGACAATGCAAGGCAATGCACGGCGCTGCAATCAGGGGCGGCAGTGAGTGGAAAAGGGGGGGGGGGCACGGTGAGGTGCGGCACCGGGCCGGCACGGAGCCCTCCGCGGGGTCACCCAGACGGACTCCGCTGGTATGCCGGCCCCCCTGCGGACCTCTCCCTCTCTCTCTCTCTCTCTCTCTCTCTCTCTCTCTCTCTCTCTCTCTCTCTCTCTCTCTCTCTCTCTCTCTCTCTCTCTCTCTCTCTCTCTCCAGGACGATGACGACGGGCCCCCCCGCGGGGCCGCCGCATCCCGCCTAAATAAGCCCCCTCGGGAATCAGAATCTGAAGCGCGCGCAGAGTCCGAATGAAAATGTTCGGAACGCGCGACCGGCGAGCAGCGAGAGAGAGAGAGAGAGAAAGAGAGAGAGAGAGAGAGAGAGAGAGAGAGAGAGAGAGAGAGAGAGAGATTCGGCTTGCAGGCGGCGTTGCAGTTGCGGAGGTTATTCGTTCGTCCGGTTTGGTTCTCGTCCCAATGGTGATGATCGAACGCGACATGAGGCGTGTGACACTCACGTGTGTGTGTGTGTGTGATTGATCGCTCAAACGGGGGTGCCAGCGTGCCCCATTCGACCACAGCATGTGTCTGCCCGGCGTCACGGTTGTGTATTTCATCTTTTTGCGTCACCGCTGCCCCCACGTCGCTGCAAACTCTTGGCGGACGCGTTTTTTGAAACATTCAGATTTGCAGATTTTTCAGATTCAAAACTGCCCGACGTAGTAGTGGCTGAATGGGTGAGACTCCGACAGCAACACAGCAGCTGAAGGAAGACTTTCCGGCGCGGCCGCCAGAGCGCGCCCGAGGCTGGTCGGCCGGTAGGCATTATGTCTCAGGTGGTGGAGAAGGTGGAGAGCCCCCTGGTCGTCGTCGGGACGCTTCCCCGCCCCTCCGCGCCCCGGGCGGGTCCTCCTCCCTCACCCTCCCCGCCCCGGCCGCGCCGAGGTCTGCCGAGCGGGCGAGGGAGAGAGAGAACGAACGAAGCCTGCCAAGCCGGCCGCCAGCCGCCACCGCCACCGCCGCCGCCGCCGCCGCCGCCGAAGCCGACCGAAGTCAGTCACCGCTGAGCCGTCGTAGAGGAAGCACGCTGCTGCCGCTCGCTGCTCTGCTCCTCGACGCCGCTCCAGTTCGACGTGTTCGAGTCACCTCGCCGACTTACCGTGTGGTGCCACCCGTTGTGCTTCAAGCCCCTCCAAGTTTCCCGCCGTGTATCCGGCGCGACCCTCTCCCTGTGAAAGTGCAGTGTGGTTTTTGTTTTGTGTGTGTGCGCCGTGGTTGTGTCGCCAACCCGGTTCCAGTGCGTCAGTGTGTGCTTTGCGACATGTGCCCCTCTGCGAACAAGTTCAAATGACGGATAACTCAGTGATGAATGCCATGGACGAGGTGAGTTGCTTTCTGGAACCCCGACGCCTCCGCGCGCGTGGAATGACCACCACCGCGAATATGAATATGAAAATGGTATCACGAGGGAAATAGTGCGGCGGCTAATGAGCACGCAGCGCGCGAGTTTGAACCGCAATGAGAGGCAAACACGGCGTTGTGTTCCTTTTGCGGGATTTGCCGGCCCGGCATGTTCGCCGTGTTTGCATGCTCATTTGCTGCTTTCGATCCCATGGCGGCCGAAAACAACAAACGCGTCTGAACTGGCGGCACATTCAGGTTCAAATACGCCGGGCCGGGCCGCCGCTTCCCGAAATTAAGGGGTACCGGACCGGCCGCCGCCGTGGCGTGCCAAGAAGGCCGTGCCCTTGCGCCGCCGTGCGCAGCCGATCCGCTAACGGAATTTAGCGGGACTGCATATTTACGTTCAATTGTACCTCTCTGCGTGTGTGTGTGTGTGCGTGTGTGTGTGTGTTCGAGTTTTAAGTGTATTTATCGTTCATTACTGGCTTGTCAACGCCGCCGGCCTCCATGTGCGGCGCCGCCGCCCCACATGTGCGTTTTCCCCCGTTCCTATTTTTGGAGGCGTTCCGAACTCTTTTTACCTTTCCCCGTCCGCCGGTCTGTCTGTCTGTCTGTCTGTCTGTCTGTCTGTCTGTCTGTCTGTCTGTCTGTCTGTCTGTCCATCCGTCTGTTCGTCGGGACTCCCGTGTGGGAGGCTGTCCGTGCACCTTTTCTCGGTGACAATCGAACGGATTGCAGAAACGGGCTGTGAAAACAAATTGTGCAAACACGTTGGGGAGGTCGCCCCGGTCGCCACGTTGCAGACTGCTCGCTGGCACACTGTAGTGCTGCACTGTAGGAGCGCCGCCCTCAGCTTCAAGCCCCTGGCCCTGGCAGTGTAGGCCCTCCTGCGATTCAATGGAGGATGAACGGGTCGAGCCATTCTATTGAAAGGTGCTCTCGACAAGGTGTCTCGTCGCTGCGTCTCTGTCGCACCGCCACGGGACGCCCCGTGAGTGCGAGAGAGACGGCCCGTCCAGGCCGCCCCGCTCCAGCCGCCGGCAGGGCTCCGGTCCAGCCAGCCAGCATCCTTGTTGACACGTCGGTGCAAAACCCGGACCGCCCGCCCGGCCGGCCGGTCGGCCCGGCGGACGTCGGACCTCGCCGTCGCCGTCCTCCGCGACCACGCCGTGCCGCCCCTCCGGGATGATTTGTTGCTTGACCACGCGCAGCATCGCGAAGGGCGCGGCGCGGCGAGAGGCGGACACGGCCTGGCGGTGACCTGGATGTAAAGGGCTTGCTTTTGTCCTAGGTTGCGCTAGGTCAGGAGGCCGCGCTCCGCTCGTGTGTGTGTGTGTGTGTGTGTGTGTGTGTGTGTGTGTGTGTGTGTGTGTGTCGCCGTGTGCGTGCCGACGCCCCTCGCTATTAGCCCAGGTCGCGGTGCTGCGCGGTGCTCCGCGCTGCTTCGCTTGCTAATGGCAGTGTTTCATATTCAATCAGTGCGCCTGGTGCAGTGCAGCGCCGCTGTCTCTCTCTCTTCCTCTCACAGAGAGAGAGAGAGAGAAAGAGAGAGAGAGAGAGAGAGAGAGAGCGGTCCCAGGATGGCGTGCTGGCCGGAGGCGGCTGCCACGGCGGCGGCGCGAACCACGGCGCGAACGGCGGCGCGAACCGCGAGCGGCGCGTCGCTCGGCATTGACACAAATTGGACGAGCGGCGGCCTGCAGCACTGCAGCTGTGGTGCGCGGTGACGCACTTCGACGCCTGCAGGCGGCCTGCATGGCCTGCCCCGGCGTGTCGTGTCCGCGGCCACGACGCCGAGGGGCTTTCCCTGGCGCGGACGACGCCACCGAGCCGACCGAGATTCCCAGGCACCACGCCCACGCCTGGAACGCGGACTGACACACTCGTGTTTTGGACCAGGCAGAGTTATAGGCGCTACGGAAAACGGGGTGACTGCGTGGGCCTGGAGGAACTATCGCACTCGTACGTCTGCCTCTCTCTCTCGCACTCGCAGGGCGTGCCGAGTGGGTGCGACAGAGACAGAACCTGGTTGAGGCTCCTGATTGCTCATTCTCTCACCCTGCTGCCGTGGCGCTGCACTCGGTTCTCACTGACCCTCGAGCAGGCTGTCTCTCTCGCACTCGTGGGGCGCGCCGTGTGGGTGCGAGAGAGACAGAGCTATGCCGCACTCGACAATCGGAATCAAGGAGGTATTGAGAAGGAAGAGCACAATTAGGCGCGGCGAGACCGTGTATAGTCCGTGTGGTCCTGGAGGAGTCCTGGAGGAGTCCTGGAGGAGTCCTGGAGGAGTCCTGGAGGAGTCCTGGAGGAGTCCTGGAGGAGTCCTGGAGGAGTCCTGGAGGTGTCCGCTCGGGTGGGCCGCACCGCCCCTTTTGTCGCCCCGTCTCTCTCGCACTCGTGGCCCGCCGTAGCAGCGCGTCAAATGGGGGTTCGTTTGTGACGCGGGGCGTCGATACTGTGACGGTGACCAATCCAATTGGCGAGCCCCGCCGCCCCTTCCTGGAACACCTGGCATTTCTTTTTAAAGGTCCGTTTGCCGTTGCAGAGAGCCTAGAATAGTTTTTGTTGTTGTTGCTGAAATGGGAGGAGCCTTTTACAAGTTATTTTGCTGTTGTGTGTGATGGGAGATCAGCAACATTTTCGTACTCATGATGATAGACATCATTTGCAATTTTCAGTTGCCCGTTCGAGCATCTAGCAATCTAGCATTTCCCTAGGGTTGTTGTTGTTGTTGAGCCCCTTCCAGTCTTGTTGTTGTTAAGGAGATTACCCGGCGGTGGGCGGCTTGATTTATCGCCGCGTCCTGCGAGTCCCTCCGGAGGGCGGCCTGGAGGCCCTGGAGGCCCTGGAGGCCCTGGAGGCCCTGGCGGCTCCAGAATGTGTTTCCTGGAGAAATGCTGCGCCTTCCTGCAAAAACGAAAACGGCTTGACGGCAGGAAACGCGGCGCGGCCGCCGCCGCCGCTTTCGATGTGCCACCGCAGCGGTAGGAACGGCGGAAAGGAGCGCACTGTGGGCTAGAAGCCCGGTGGAGGCGGACAAAACTCTAGACGCGTTTTGAGCTCCAGAGTCGCTGAATGGGACTCGAACCGAACGCGTGACCCCACCAATGGATTGCTCTCCGAACGAGGAATCCATTGGCGGGGGCCACACGTTCGGTTCGTGTCCCGTTTAGCGACTCTGGAGCTCAAAACGCGTTCAGAGTTTCAGCCGCCTCCACCGGTCTTCTGGCCCACTGTGGAGCGTTCGAGCAAGGCGCCGCCGCCTGCCATCGCGAACTGTACAGTCGCGCGCGAGCGTTCGCCTGCACCGCCTCGCTCTGCGCCTTCCATAAACTCATTCGCCGGCGATATTAACTCGAGTCGGGGGATTTTAATAATGTCGTGTGTGTGTGTGTGTGCTGCAGCCATTCGAATGATCGTAAATATTGGCCGTGTGTGTGTGAGTGTGTGTATGTGTTCTGCAGTGCGCCTTGCACGAGCGCTTGCCACAGCCTGCCATACGGGGCAGGACTTCGCTCCCCCGCTGACTGACTCCAGACGGATTACTCCCAGGCAGCGCGGGGAGGGGAGGGGGAGGGGTTGAAATGAGAGCGTGTGTGTATGACCTTAGGAAAGGTTCAATAAGGAGGGGTTTGACCAGCAGCCGTCACCCCTGTGTGTGTGTGTGTGTGTGTGTGCGTGTGTACTTTATTGGATTTTCGTCGCGTGTGTGTGGGTGGCAGCGTGGTAATGAAGCCTCAGGGGAGCCGGGCGAAGCGTGGCGAAGCACTACACGACACTATACAGGAGGAAAATGAAGAAAAACGGGCCGGCCGCCGGCGGGAGTCGAACCCGCGGCGCGTGTGTGACACTGTCCAGACGCCTGCAGCCGGCCGCGGTGGTCATTACGCTTCGGAATGGCCGTCTCCGCGCTGGGCGGCGACCATTTCTCACCCGGCCGGGCCAATATCGCGTAATCGCAGACTTACACTGCAGGCGCGGCTTCCTCCCCCCCCCCCTCCCCCGCGGCGGAAACTACTACACTATACAGCTGTCACTGTAACAGTTTTTTGGCCCCTGTTTTATTGGCGGGGCCGGCCGCGGGTATAAAAGTGAATATTGACAATCATGGACAGCGGACTCTGTCTCTCTCGCACCCTCGGAGACAGCACGCGGCAGGGCCGGCAGGGAGTGCCACAGTGTGCCGGTAATGCCAGTGTAAATACACCGTAAACACGCGGCCGGCCCTGCTGGGCGTCGATTCCATTCCATCGCTGTCTCTCTCGCGCCGCGGCGGGGCGGGCCCGGGCGGGCCGCGAGTGCGAGAGAGACGGTGTACCAGTGTACCGTCGGTATGATTCATTCCCCGCTGCCATCGACAGTCGATTTATGGTCAGCTAATCCTTCGATCCGTGGCTGCGATTGCTGAGAGTCCGGGCCGCGTTCGGATCGGAGTCTCTTTGTTGGGGGCCGTCGGCGAGCACCGTGGTCTTCCAGTGCAGGGCGCCCGGCCGCGTCCGGAACGCCCTCGCCAACGGGGCCGCTCGCCGTCCCAGCTGGACGCGGGGACCGGCTTCAGGGGCGGGCCCCGGCCCGGCGTGGTCCCGGCACTCCGGACGCCACCGCGCACTTCCCGGATTCAAAGGGGTTCAGACCGAGGCGTCTTGGCGTGTGCACGCCAGCCTTCGACTTTATATGACGTACACACACACACGCACACACTCACAGTGTGGAAAAATGGCGAAGAGTAAAGTAGTTTCGCCGATGGACAGCGCGCATCTGGATCTAAATACGTAAACAGCGGATGGGCTGTGAAATAAAAATTCATTTTGTTGTTGTTGTTTGTCCGTGCGCGCTCCGCGCGGCCAGTCCGCGGCACATAGTCCAGGACCCCTAGTCAAAATAGGGCCCTAACCTTGAACAAAATTGTATAAAGCTGAATTTTGGATATGTTGTAGCGCTTGATTCACTGAGTCCGCCGCACTATTTGGTTTCGCTCC